CTACGTAAAATGAATGTGTTATGGAATGTGTGCTGAATGATATAGTAATATGTTCATTTGAGTAAAGCTTTAGAGGATGAGGGACATTCATTATCATTATGGAAAATTTGGAAATTGCTTTCTATAACAAATGATGGATTGCTATGCCAGATATTGGATATCATTTAATTTGTTAATGGAATAATAGTTGTGCGTGCATATTCATACCAGTATCATACTAGTACAGATTAGTGATTTAAAAAGCGCTAGGCGCCAAAAAGCGCCGAGGTCCAAAACCGTCCGAGGCGTTAGGCGCTCGCTCGAGCGAAGCGAGGCACTAAAATATAAAAATATATAATATAATTATAAATATAATTATTTAAATAAAAATATGATATTAAATTAAGAAAATCAATAAAATTTTACATCAAAGCTATTCATCATAATCAATATTATTGTCATTTTCATATAAATCATCTTTATTGAATTCGTCCTTTTCCTGTTGTCCTTCCTCGCTTGATGCTTTTGCACTCATTTTTTTCTTTGTCATTTGTCTTGTATATGTTTGTAATTCTTCAGCACTTGAAGCTCTTGCCACTCGGGCGATGCGAGGCGAGGCCCGAGCGCCTTGTTTCATGTCCAGGTGCCTTGCTTCAAAGAGGCGAGCGCCCAGCCCAAGCGTCGGGCGCTTCGGGCGAGCGCTTGGGTTAAACCAGGCGATCGAACCAGATTTTTAGGTCTGGTTGGTCTCCGATGCTTTAGTTGGTTCAATCGAACCAACTAAATCATCGATATTAGGCTCCCTCTCGTGATTTCCCCGACTTCCTCAACCCTAACACTTAGTGATTTTACCGTCGAGATTTCTTCTTCATTGTCGCTACTCTCTGTTGCCGCTGCCACTATCGCTGCTCGCCGCTACTGTCGCAACTCGCCGCTGCCACAATCGTTGCTCGCCGTCGCTGTCGTTGTCGCTCTCGCTGTCGCTCTCGCTGTCGCCATCACTTGCCGCTCCCGCTCTAGCTACGGCTGTCGCCTGCTACCGTTGTCGTTGCCTCAGCAACCTCGGTTTTCTCACACTCATCTCACTATACTGTTAATAGTATATTAATTGTATACTGCTAACTGTATACTAATAATAGTATTTTTATTTATTAGATTAATAATATATTATTTTAATTTTAATACTATTAATTTTTATTTATTTAATAATATATTTTTTTATTTAAAAATAAAAAAATATTATTATGATTTATTTATTTATTGTGATTTTATACCCGATTTTTTTAAATTTAATAACATATTTTTATTTAAATAATTATATTTATTAATTATATTAATAGTTTCACTCACAATTCGAAGCATTACATGTCAAACTAAGTACTTTGATAGTAAATTACTATAAGTTCGGGGTGAAATTTTCAAAAAGACCCTATCCACTATTCAGTTGTAAAATTTATGTTATTATTAGCAATAACATAATAACATACTATAGTTGAAATTAATTATATCAAATTATTAATACCTGGAGAAGTAGTTGTCCTTGATCGACTGCAATTGGAATTCTAAAAAGACTTTCAGCATTTTTATATAGAGATAATTCATGAATAATCTTATCTTGCACCTCAAGGCTTGGAATTAATCTTGTAACGCACTGATATAACCCATCCAAAACATTTGCATCAAACCCAACAGATTTAATCTTATAAAAGAATTCAGGGTTCAAATAATATCCTACTGTATGTAAGGGACGATAAAGTTGATAATTGCATCTTTCATCAATGATTGTAAAAATTTTCTAATATTTTTTTTCATTTTCATTAAAAGACTTTTTAATCGTCTCCTTTGCTCTATCCATAGCCTCATAAATATATCCCATTGCAGATTTATTTTTATTATCCACCAATTGAAGGACTTGAACAAGAGGGCCCTTTACTTTTAATATATAAATTACATGATTCCAAAAGAATGACATAAAGATGATAACAGTAGCCCTCTTGCCTTTTGCTTCTTTTGCCCATTTGCTTGTCTCTCATTTCTCAAAGGTAAACATGTTTATCAAATTATGTTTTTGACGATGCACGCTCTGTAATGTCAAGAATGAAGTAGCAAATCGGGTGACATCATATCTCATTAATTCTTTGTTACGTGTGAATTCTCTCATCATATTCAAAGCCCCAATATGATTATAAAGAAATCAATACGATATGCCGTACATGGAGTCCAATATAAGTGTTGTCTTTTTGTTTCAAGCAATTTACCCGAGACAAAGGATAACAAAAATGATAAGACTTAAGAGTTTAACACATTTAATTGAAGATAAAATAATTAAAAATTTAAAAGATTAATATTACCAGCTACTACATAGTTGCTTCCATTGTTGGTTATGATTTGAATGACATTTTGTTTTCCAATTTCTTCCACGAACTTGTCAAGTAAATCATATATCTTGTTTTTAGATTTTATAAAAGATGAAGCATCTATTGACTTCACAAACATAGTCCCTAAAGAACAGTTAATCATAAAATTAATTATACTCCTACGTCTCCTGTCAATCTAAGCCTTTGACATAATAGAGCAACCATGTGTTGCTTATGATTCTTTATGACCCTTTAGTAAGTTATTTGTATAATTCAACTCTTTTTGCAATAATGGAATTCACATCTCATAATAACTTGGAGGTTTTAATCCGCACCATATCTTTCAATAGCTTCAATCATTTCTTTAAAACTGTCTAAACGAATTGTACTAAGGGGAAGACCAACCTGATTGAAGAAGCGAGCAATGTGTTGAATTGTTCTTCCTCTTATTTCTTTATTACAAGCATCACTTATGTTTGTCCGTCTAAATTTTGAGCCTCCTGTTTGACCTTATTGCTTTTGTGATCCTTGAAACATATATAGATCCATTGGTCCTTTTTTACCATTCTTAGTATTTATAATTTTTTTTCCTTTTTTGTCGTATATTTTTTTCTCACTTGGGTTAATACTCATAGAATAATCTTCTTCTTCATCCCTGAGATGTTCAACATTATCTTATGGTAAATTTCTATAAGATTCATTCTTTTGCATCTTCTTTTCTTTCATATAACTCAACAACTCTTCTTTTACCTTAGGTGGACACTTTTTGTAAACTACTGCATTTTTGAAATTTTAAATGTTGTTTTGCATGAAAAATATCACATCTAGTAGTTTTATCATAGAACATGCAAGTCACTGCATTATGATCTTTCGGATCCTTTAGATAATTATACTTCCATGCATGATCTTTTTTTGATGTTATTGGAGAATCTATTGAGTTGCTCTGTACACTTGCCATTTATCTTGAAACATAACAATAATTTCAAATAAATAAAAATTAATAGTGTTAAAATCAAAATAATATATTATTAATCTAATAAATAAAAATACTATTACTAGTATACAGTTAGTACTATACTGTTAACAGTATATTATCGAAGTGAGAAGAGTGTAAAGGAAAACTGAGGGTGCTGACTGAGAGCAGTGGTAGCAGCAAGCAGCAGGAGCGGTGAGCGACGACAGTGATAGCGATAGTGGGAGTGACGACAGTGGCAGCGACAACGGGAGCAACAAGCAAGGTTAGGGCTGATATCAATATTTTGGTTGGTTCGATTGAACCAACTAAAGCATCGGAGACCGAACCAGACCTAAAACTCTGGTTCAATCGCTTGGTTTAACCCGGGCACTCGCTCGAAGCGCCCGGTGCCTGGGCTCGGGCGAGCACCTAAGCGATGCCTCTTTGAAGCGCGCCGCCTGGAAATGAAGCGAGGCGCTCGGGCCTCGCCTCGCCTTGCCCGAGCGCCTAGGTGAGCACCCGAGCGCCTAGGCGAGCACCCGAGCACCTATTGAAATCGTTGGCATAGATTATTTCGAAGTCTATATGGACCTTGACCCAAGTTGATCAATACGTGGTTCAGTTTTCTTTAGAAAATTGGAACTGAGAGGACTTCTTATGCCTTGAAGGACATGAAAGCAACTCCAGATAGACAAGGCAATCACTGGCTTGATTTTGTAAGGGATAAAGAAAGAAATGTTCTTGAACAAAGAGTTCTGTGTGTACTAGTAACGGAAGAGTATTAGTCCCATCCTATTCAGTTAAAAGGTTGGATTAGATTAGGATTTGACTTGAGAGATAATTACCCAAGTTCTTTTCCTACCGTAACAGGATCTGACAGCCTTCACACCCAAAAGTCATTTTCTTATGGACACCACACGGCTAACCTTGGTGTGCACAGTAAGGGTCGATCATTATAAACTGCAGTACACATTTAAATTTTTTTCAGCAGAGTATTCATGTATATGATAGATTATTCTAAATAAATTTTTATTTCTGATAAAACTGTGAGTCTTCATCACTAGTAGCCTTGTAAATGGTCATGCTTGTAAGTCTTCAATGTTCACGTCTTAAATTGTTTTTTTATTTATTTATGGATTAATTAATTTACATTGTGAAACAGTGAGGTTTCTCATTTATATCAACTTCTCGAGTAATGAGATTTTTAGACAGATATGCTGTTGACATTAACCCCAACTGGACTGTCAGTCTCATTCTTAAATATCATAACTTTGTTCTGAATTATTGTACATGTTTTAGTACTTTAATCTTTCATGTTAGATCATTTTCCTTTGCTTGAACTTATAAAGGACTTTGGACCATTTGACTCTTAACCGTATAATGTAGTTTTTTTAATCAGTTTAACCATTGGAAGCTAAAGTGTTTTTCTATTTGGTAGGCATATCGGTCGAGCATGTTGAAAGCATTTAAGAAGACTCTTGAAGAAGGAATATTCACATTTATAATTGGTATGCTGTGACATTTGGAATGCTGTTTTTTTTATTCTTGAAATCTGAAGGATTTATATTATTTTGAAGCTTTATTCTTTATCGCTTGCTTGTCAGCATTTAATTACCATATGTAATGCTTATTTGGTGCTTTGCTATCAATGTTCAAAGGTTTGGTTCCATGCATTTTTTTCCTATTTTAATTTCAACCATGGTGGTAGCTTTACCTATTTTTTGACACTTCACGTTATGCTGTTTGTTGCCCCTGAATATTGAAAAAACTGAGCAATCCTATGTGAGAATGGTTGACCTGATTGTCCCAATATATTAGGGCTACTGTTGGACACATCAAGATATATTTGTTTGGTACTAGATGAAATGGTGGTTGCAGTGCTTAAGCATTCTGCGCTGCCTTCAGTTTTCACTAATGACTAATGCAGCATTGTTCGGCAACTGACTCCATTTGTTGCTGGTATGTTTGCCTCGTTTTAGTGGATGACCGCAATCTGCGGGTAGCTGATTTTGCTCAATTTTGGGCAGTTGCTAAGGTATAATCTCTTTCTTTGCATTCTTTACGAGTATTTATCTTTGAGTTCTTTTTGTATTGTTTGAGAGTTTGTTGAGAACATGCTATGTAATTATAAGGTTAACCTTGAGTATCAGTAATGTCTGAGATATTCATCTGCAACAGTATCTAATTATATATATTATTATATACCAAAATATTGGGATTTCTTGAAATTTTTGGAATGGAGCATCCTTCATGCTATCTTTATCATTCTCTTTGCTCTAACTGGTACATGTGTATATATATGTCTGCATACACACTGAGAAGCTAGTCTGTTTTGTTCTCTCTTTTGTCACTATTGTTTTTCATTGTTTACCATTCTTCATTTTCTGCTGCCAGCATGCTAAAAACAGTATGCTGGTGGCACACCTAGAAATCCTTGTTCTATTCCAGGTACTTTACAGGTTAATGTTTCAGGTTAAGACAGAAAAAATAAACATGAATAAGAAAGGAAATGTATTCTTCTTGATCAGCTACTCATCTATTTTGTAGAAAATCCTATGTTCCTGATTAGCCATTTAGGCCTCGTTTCACAATAGGTTAATTTTGGTGTATTTGAAGTTACCATGGTAATTTTACTGTAGATGCAAATTTTTTCCAGCATACCATTCAGGAAAGTTCAGGTAACTAGGATTTTAAGAACACTGGAATATTTAACAAGTGCCAGGGTATAAAAAAAGGAACACTGGAATTTTTGTTTTCAGTATTCTCTTGGATAAAAACATTATCTTCCTTCTTTTCTCTCACGCATCCTGTCTCACCACCAAATCTGGTGCCTGCAACTGGCTGACTGGCTCACTTCCTTCATCACTGTCTACCCAAAAGCTCTTTCATATATGACCACCTAAGGCATCATTTCCTGTATCAGTGCCCTTTTGCAGCTTGCCTCTCTATTGGTACCTGGTTCTGCCCCATAATAACATTGAGGAATTTGGCCAGGCTGCCTCACACTTTCAATCACAGTGTAGTGGTGCTATGGCAATGGCGCCTTAGTCGGTCCCCTTATGGACTCTCAGGCCCATGACTTTGAGCAGCATCTGTGGTTGGCCACCTCCTTCCAGGATTCAGAGCGGGGAGAACTGAGGATCCATGGAATTCCTTGTCTGCTTAAACATTAAAAGCTGAATGGAATTAAAGTAAAATCCAGTTTGTTTTTTATCCTTCAAATATTCAAAATTTTATTCTGGAGTATGTAGTATCTCTTAGGTTGCTAAAGCCCATAGGCTTCATGCAAATCTAGAATCAAAGGGTCCAGTATGAAAAATTTTTTGCTTCATATTTAACTTGCAGATATGAGAACTTCCACTAAATTGCTCCTCTGTTTTGCTGACCTTGTCATTTAGCATATTTTGATGTGCTGAACTGTATTGCTGTTTATTCTAGTGGAGGTTGGAAGCCAGTTAGAAGGCTGTTATTGTAGCTCACTAGGTTAAAGCATGTAACATACTTGGCTGTTAGGGACTGATATTGTTGTGACAATAGTTGGTAATAAGCTGAAGCAGGGCTCTTGAAGTGAATATGTAAGGCTACTTTTACTGGAGTCAGTAAACTGCTACTGAACATATCATGTTCTGCTTGCAGCAGTTCTTTTGCTTTTGGTTTCCCCATTTCTGTTATTTCAGTCTGCTTTTATCTTTAGATTTCCATCAATTTCTGAACCATTATTCAAACAACCAGGTTGTCATATCTTTAAATGGACTGCAAGTGTGAAATTATTAGAAATTGTCATTTACAAAAATGAGGCTAAGCTTATTGGTTTTAGACCCTAATGGTTCTCCAATTTGAAAAATGGGTAGAAAAAGAGAAAAACCTACAATGACACTATCCACGGGTAAATGTGACATAAAATTCTATACCATTTTGATCATAAATTTTTGTTGTAATGGTAAGACATTTTTTATTATTTCAATTTGCATATTTGTGCTTGACGCAATTTATTTGATTGCACATGTTGTAAATGCCTGTTATATTTCCTTTAGAAAAACAGTAAATTCTGATGAATGTCAATTATGTGGATAAGTTTTGAATGTATTGTTCATCTTCATTTGTCATAGTCATGTTTGTGTTGCAATCTTTGTTTACATGTTATCCATCTTAGTGAATCGATTTTTTGTTGGGGTTGTCGTTCAAAATTGGTGCATGATGTGGTTATGAGTTTGATATGCATGGAGTGTAGGAAGGGTAATCTTACCTGGTTCTCTATTTTGGGTCATGAGGTGTTTGGGCTGCTATTTTTATTACCATTAAAAAATGAAAAAAATATTTAAAGAGTATGTTCACAAAGAATTTGTCTTTTCTTATAATTTATCTTTTTTTTTTCATTCCATTTTCTTTTCTACATTTTTTTTTCTTTCTATACTTCTCTTATTCTCTTCTCTTTCTATTTAATTTTTTTTCAATTAATTTTCTATTTAAACCTAATTTGTGGTTTTATGTAAGAAAGAACCCAAATCCTGTAAGTCGCAGAATTTTATAATTGGTTACAGGATTCAATTCACAGACTCATGCAAGTTCTACCTCTCTTGCTCTCTATCCATCTATTGTCTCTATCTTTATCTCTCTCTTGGCCTACAATCAGTTGAAAATGATCTCCGATGGTGACAGTGAGCAATGGATAGTGCATGGGTGAGGGGCTGTTTGCAGCAATCAAGCGTGCTCCTCTTCCTCCCCGTGTCTTGCTCCCCCTCTTTCTCCTTTTTCTTCTTCTGTTGAGATTGAGAATGAGATTTTTATTTCTTGTGCATGTTTCAGTTGGATCCCTTTGTGAACCAGATCACATACAACCATGATCCTGGATGCAAAAGACTCATACTCTGGATCTAACAACTTAGAATGTTGTACCCAGGGGGTACAGCAAATTTATTAACCATACTACTGACTTCTGCCAAAAGATATCTCTTATGTGGTTTACCTGAAAGTTAAGTGGAGACAAATAATTGTGATATCTTTTGGCTTGCCTTCTGATCAGGGTTTCTTTCTAATAGAAGTTTTTCTTTTATAATGACCTGTTTCTATGTCTAAATTGTTGTGATCACTTCATCAGTATAAGCCATTAGTTTGATTTTGTCTGATATACCCTGTCATTCGAAGGTTAGACTCAGCTAACATAACTAGATATTAAAGCTATTGGTCCTGTTCAATTATGGAATCCATGCTGGGAAGCTTTAGTCAGCTTGATCTTTGTGCTGGCCCTATTTAACTGTTAAGTCGTTCAGTATTGAGCTTTTTGTTTATAAATAATTGAATGGTGTGGAGAGAACATTGTCTTGTCACATGCAATTATTTTGTTCTCTGTTTTGCTTTCAAAGCATCTAATTCTTGGATAAATTGGTATCCTATTTTTTAATTTAAAGACTATTGAATTTATTACAAGAAAAGAGGATAATGCTGTTGAGAATCTTGCAAACAAGGAGTGATTTCTGGAGGGTAAATAAGGTAAAGCGTACAAATAGTACATATCATGTATCTTTGAGAATGTTTTGATGATAGGTCGGGTTCCAACTTCGAAAACTTTTGATACTTTTTAAGACTGTAAATGGTTAGTCCTTTCCTAGGAGGTTGCTACTATTATAGGTATTTGTAATGTTCAAGTCAAACAAAATGCTGATTATATCTTTGTTAGGGCCAAACTTGCCTGTTAAATCCACTTTTGACTTAGCCATTATATACTTATTAAATTCACTATCTTTTATTATTGAAATCATAATTTCTTTATCAAACCTAGTGTGTTCTCTGTAAGAGAAATTTAAATTTAATTTGAAGATCGTCCTTGTTAAGGTTTCTCTCTACTGGTATTAAAGGGACATAATGTGTTTTTGAACTGTATTTGTACATCTATCTTGCAATATCTTTAATAGTTCAGTTTATGTTTTTTTTTTCTTTTGGATAATTACTAACAAGGGTTTTTCTTTAAGTTGGAAACTGATGAATGCCACATCTATTACAAGTGGCTGAATTTCTTTGCTTCTGCTGGTTCTATATGCTTTAATACATTTTTTGCATATTCTTCCTTTTTGTTGTTTCATTGTGAACTGTGTCAAGTGCCGAATAGCAGTGAACTGACTGTAATTTTTTATAGTGTAATGAAGAAATATTGGTTGACTTAGATGAAGGCTATTTATGGAAACAATAAGTGTTCACTGAAGTTCTTTTGACGTAAATTATTGACTATTTGAATTTAGAATTGTGTATTAATAAGTGAAGATTGCCTTGTTATGATCATGCTTCTCATGATTGTCATATTTCTTGAGCAGAGATCGGGCTATGAGGTATACTTGCTGGAAGCTCCATATAAAGATCCAACGGTGAGATTTTGATAGTCCTAGCAAATTGAAGCTTGACTCATGCTTAAAAGACTTTACTGCTGTCTATTTCAAACAATTTTGAACAGGTTAACTATTGGGTTTTTTGGGATATTTGCATGTGTTCTTAGGTTTCTTGGCTAACAAATTTACTACTTTAGTACTAGATAACTTTTTTGGACATTGAAATTTGCAAGGTATGCAATTTCGTATCGTACCGGGGTTTCGACGTTCTCTTGATACGGTACCAAACTGTATACCGAGTTGTATACTGTTCGGTACACCGCTCGGTGTGTGTGTGTGTATAT